CGGTCACTCACTCATACAGTCCCCACATGAGTCAATTAAAAAAATTACAGGAAACAACAACAATAAAATTAATAAAAGTGGGTACACACATCGACCATCCATTACGTACATAACACATACATATCCCAAACAAAAAGAAAAAAATTGCACAGCAGTTAGAAAGTGCAGGGTTCGCACACAGTTTGTGGCGGATTCATAAAAGTCTGGTCTGCTGAAGATGTAGAAAAGAAGCAAAAGTCTGGAATGGCAGAGGCGGCGTCTCTAGGGCGGCCAAAGGTAATAATAGTCAAGCAAATGGGACTAGTTCGTAAGTCCAGAAGCCCAAGGTCCACGAGCAGAGGGAGCCAGATGGTAGGAGAAGAGGCCTTGCAAATGGCAGGAGAGGAGAGCTTGCAGATGGCAGGAGAGGAGGCCTCGCAGCTGTAAAGGTAGTGCGGATGAGAGGCCGCACCGCAAAGAAGGCCACAGAGAAGGCCCAATCGAGTGGGGCGGAGGGGGGGGAGGGCGCCCAAGAGGGCCGCGGCAATAACAAAGAAAGCCAGTTGCCCGATCTCATCCGGCACCGTAACAGATCACTCATCCCCTCTCTGAAGCAAAACAAGCTGGTATCAGTCCGGGGGCTCCTCCAGGCTCCTCTCAAACGCGAAAAAAGAGCCAGAAGATGTCCGGAACGTCGCCAACAGATGAAGCGATGGAGGGGGGCACCTGGGAGGAATGCAACGGCGGTGGCAAGCAAAGCCAGCCGCCTGATCTCTTCAGTGCCATCCTGGATCAGCCACCCCCTCTCTGGCACGGTCGTCTGCTGAGAGTCTAAGTCCAAGGCTTCCCCCAGTCGAGGAATCAGAGAGTGAGGTCGAAGAACACTGGGGCCATTGAAAACCGCCGGGAAACTGCGCCATCAGCGCGACGCCATACTCTTTGCAGCCAGATGGTAGAAAAACTACCGAGGGCGGTCACATAAGCTGGGGCCATCCATGAAGAAAAATCCCTGAGGACGAAGTCGGGGGGGGAGGGCGAGGGCGACCGGAGAAACGCGCCATCAAAAGGCAAGCCCACGTTGCCCCGAAGAGGCCGGCCCAAGAAAATAGTGGGTGGCAGCGGCAGATAGTAGTGGGAAGGCGGTAGGGCGGTGTTTTAAGAAGCCAGGATCGCAGCAGCCGGAGTATGGATAAACAAAAATCCGCAGCGGTGATGGTAAAGAAGCAGAGGGCCGCGATGGAGAAAGAGGGGGGGGAGGGACGTCGGCGATGGCAGTAAAGAGACCAGCCGCCCAGTCCCCCACTCACCAACCACTCCGAGGATATGGAACTCCAAGGATGAAAAACCGTGTCCCAAAGCAGCTCAGCGGCGCCCCGTATTAAAGAGCTGAAGCCACGGCGATTTGGCAAGCTCAGGCAGCCATCTTCTGCAGCGCTGGTCCTGCCTCCCTACATCGTGCACAGCCTCCTCCTGCAAGGACTGGACTGCCACAAGCCCCCTGGGGCGGCATGCTGCCCTGGCCACTGAGTGAGATGGAGTCACTCAGTGAGGACATTTGCCGGGCAAGCAGGAGGACAGGGCACATGCTTCCTAGAGGCAAGCCCTTGCCGCAGAGGCTTCTCAGGAGCAGAAGCGCTCCTCCGCTCCCCTCGGGTTGAGCCATGAACCAGCCACGAACCATCCAAAATGCCCTGGAAAGCCTGCGCTGGCAGCTATCACCAGTGAACAAGGTGAGAGCTGGAGAGGCTCAGAAAGAGCTGCGGGAGGCAGGGGGAGGCGAGAGAGAGAGCCTCCAGCGGCAGAGGCAGCCACATGGCAGCCTGCAAAGGCACAAGCTATCTCCATGTGCTCCAGCAAAGAGGAGCCTTTTGAATTTGGAGCTGG